TTGCACATCCGATTGGGTTGACCTCTGCGATTATTCCTAATGTGAATAACTCGTTCGTGTAATTTTTGGTAGCCGGGAATGGCGTACGCGCCGTCCCGACTCTTTGAATAAATATGTATGTCTTTTAAATAATTATCTTTGATAAAAATAATCAGTTTTCTCGGGCATTTTAGCACCTTTCTTTAGTTTTTCCGTTTCGAAATGCATGTGAATTAACTGTATACTTTGTTTTAATCCCTACTAACGCTATATGTTCAGCGCATTATCGTGAAATTGCAAGCGAGCCGCCAATATAAGGAAAATTTATCACCACCGCTGACTTAACGCCTTTTCCTTGTACGCATATCGACATACTCGTCGTCGTTCGTCCTTGTCCATAGAAAGCAATCATTTATTACAAATGACTTTTGACAATTGGAAAATTTTACGATTTATTTTAAACGCCAGCGTTCGAGTTGAACGCCACCAAGAGACGGTATAAGAAATGTGAATTAAAGAAATGCTGGAGACGCAGAATGAAATAATATAATAAATACATATGTATTATTTATGAGGCTCTATAAGTCTATGAAAGGATATGTGTACGAGTTAATAAATAATATTCCTTTCACTTGTCCGGCAACCTTTCACTGCCGCACAACTTGCCACATTAAATAGTAGCAAAGCTTCTTTCTGATTATACGCATACAAACCAGCACCGTGGCGCGCGGCAATTGAAGTTGTTGGTGGTGGTGGTTGGATTCCGAACAGCGTTGTGGCGGTTTGTCGCTTCGTCCTTTCGTCGCTTCCTTCATTCAACGCTTCAGTTGTTGCCACCTCATTTCCTTTCCACATCGTTACGCTCTCTTTACGTGCTTTGACACAATCGGCAATTTTCTGTTGACTCCAACTGTGCTCATGTGTGGGTGTGTGTGTGTTTGTGTGTGTGTGTGTGTGTGCGAGTGTTATTTTGTTGGTTCGCCTCAGGTTAAAGTCATATCGTTAGCATTAACGCTTTTTGATTTTTATTGAGTCAGCTAAATTTTATTTGATTTACCCTCTCCGCAGCATGTCTGTGTCATGAAGATATGTACCATAGCGTATACGGATTACAAGCTCACGCGCGCACAGGCAGATATACGCATATGGTATGGCATATATATATGTAGGAGGAACAAGACACTTGGGGTTGGTAGCAGGTTCTTTGGACTTTAATAGATGAAAATGAAGTTGGATTGAGACTTAATTCAGTGCACATCCTTAGAGTTCATATCTGGTTGTTCACACATGCACAGCTATATACTATATATAGGTATATATAGACGTATGCAGGTTAACATTAGAGTGTTACACGTCTCAGAAGATTTTTAATTGATTTTTTACCCACCTTGTTATTCCTCGGACGCGGTAGCCGAGTGGTTAGCATTGCGTACGGCTTTTCAAAAATTAATTTAAAATCGCCCCTCAGCCGTTCGGATGGGGGTTTAGTATAAACTGGAGGTCCTACTATTTGTTGGAAAAACATCAAGACGAAGCCACAAATTTGAACAGCACTGGCGAGTTTCGATATCGCCTGGCAACATTGGCTTGGCGGTTATTTTTTACTTATGTGAATGGCAGAAGTTGCGTTGGCAAATGTCAGTAAAATATTTGCAATTATTTTGAATATTTTTATACAATATAAAAATTTGTTTTGGCCAATAAAATAGTTGCTAATGGTTTTTTATTTATCATTCGCATTTCGACCTCAAACTTTTTGTTTAATCAGCTGACAACTATTAAATGCGCTTATGCCGGTTTGTCCGGAACATGGACAATCAACTGTACCACCCTAATGCTAATGTGCCTATCTGTGTCTCTTCCTTTTCAATACCTCCTCATTCTCCTGCAATCATCCGTAAGCGATGAATTTTTTACCCGGAATTTTAATTTCTCCTGCCAAACACATTGACTTCATCAGCTATCGCGGGTGAGTCCCAAATCTGGCAGACCGAGCGTTTTCACGTCGTTTGCGATTGCATTGATAAAATAAATTACTAGGAGATTAGCGCGAATGTAATTATCATGTCGATTTGGGTGTAGTGAGATAAGGAGAGGGCATAGGGCGCGGTGTGGTGAGTGTGGAATACAAGAGTCCAGCTTTCTGGTGCCCTAAAACTTTTAGCTCCGTGATTTCTAACAAAAATTTTTATATGTAAATCAGTGCCATGAAACTAACGATAATTAAAGAAATTTTGACAACTTTGTTTTTTGTTTTTTATTTTTAGTTGTTTTTGGGCGGTTTTATGGGTCAGTTGGTCGGTACTCCAATGTCTTCTTCATCTTTTTTTCTTTGCAGCCATTCTTGCTTTTTCATTTTCTTTCCTGTTGCTGTTATTCTATATGTTTTACCTCATGTTCTATGTCGCCCTTCACATGCTTTATATTCTTAAATTTATTTCCGAGCTTCCCCTTGTCTATTTTTTATTTTTCTTTATTTATTTCATACACCAGGCAACAGCTTCTCTTCCTTTAAATCTATTCAATTTTCGCTTCATTTAGATTAATATCATCAGCAGAGTCAACCTAATCAACATGTGTGTCGTGTCTTTTTTGTGCAGCAATTAGGGTGGGGTATAGAGTGGAGTGGGCCAAAAGCATTGGTGGACAACAAAAGTTGTTGGTATTAGAAAAAGAATTCGAAGGGAATCGAAGATGAAAGCACTAAATAAGATTAAGTGATTAGAAAGACAATGAGATACTGGAGATGGAGTCGGCTTTCGGCTTCCAAGGGAGTTTTTAACTCTATTTCGGGGATGAATGTACTCACTCGTAGTGCTTGAATGAGTTTATAAAGACATAAGGATGGGTGTTAGGCACTATTTTATATGTGTTTCTTTCGTTAAACTGAAAGTTAAAATATTTAAGGAGATAAAAATAAATATAATTGTTTAATAAGAAAAGCCCCTTTAAAGTTCTTAATTTTTTCCAAAAACTGTTAATAACTAAAATTTAACTTAGTTCGCAAACAAGCTCAAGAAAGTAATAAAATTAATCAGGTAAATATCTTGCTCTCCTTCATTGGCGTAGGTCTTTTCTTTTCGCTGTTTGGCAACAATCGGAAATAGCGAGGGAAACCAGATCGCTCTTTAACTAATATTTCCTATTGATTGAAGATCATCATCTTCCTTACTTTCATCAGTGATTACTTTATCGAATACCTTGAAAGCTGGCATGGTTTCATCCGTTAGGATGGCATGGTTTCATTCGTTAGGATGACATGGCATAGCCGCTGTCTCTTATACGCTGAACTATATCAATGCCGCCGTACAACTCGTACAGCTTACCGTTCCATCGTCTGCAAATACTCGCCGTCGCCCATACGTTGTTGACTATAAAACTTCTGTAAAACCTTTCTCTCAAATTCCCCAGTACCGACTCATCAGATGTTGTCATTTGAAGCCACGGAATTATGAGCGACTAGTAGAGTTTGGTTTTGCTTCATCGAGAACGGACTTCACTCTTCAATTGCCTACTCAGTTAACTTAGCACCTGTTGGCAAGAGAGATTCGACGTTGTATTTCCAGGCTGACATTATTATAAGTGTTAACCATGATGATATCTAGGTCGACGAAACTATATACGACTTCAAAGTAAGGACCATTAAAAATGACGTGGGAGATAATATGCGAAGGCGGTGACTGTTTGTTTGATGGCAGGAGGCCTAGTTCACTACCAGATGCATTTGCTTCGCTTCCTTATCCAGTCAATATCATCGACATACACTATCAATTGTACTTTCTCTACTTAGCTGAAGAAACTAAGAACCAATTTGTTTTTTTATCTTAATTTTTTACGTGCTGACAAATAAATTTTTAGTTTTTTTCCTGTTTTTCTACTGACGAGCTCATTTGGCCCATTTTGTTAAAATCAAGAGAGGCCTTTTCACGCATTTTACTTAGACACTTCCTTCTGTTTCGTGAAAAAAACTGGAAAATCCACAATGTCAATCACATTTTAATTATTTTCTTAATTAATGAAATAAATCAAATATCAGAATTATTGGAAATATTACTGTGATATTATCAAAAGGATGTACAGACATTTTCTTGCATATGCTGAACGACTTTTTTCTACTTATTTAAATTTGCGAATAAATGCTTAAGTTTTTTTATGTATACATACATATATATGTACAAACAGTCGCACTCCTTCCTAGAACACTCTACTCAATGTACTTCCAAAAGTCAGTTTGTTTGATGTAAAAGAACTCAATTATTTTTCCATCCATCAAAGCCTACCACTTACAAATACTCACACACACATATACATGCACACCTACATGTGTATGTATGTATGTATGTATTTGCGATATCTTAAGAGAATCACTGTTAAATCAACAGAGTAGCATGAAAATACCAATTTAATGTCTACATTTTTGTTTGGAGTATTATCAAATAGTAGCATAAGTACAGCGGCAGGCACAGACACAAACACACACACATATATATATGTATTTGTACACCTTTAGTCGCATGTATGTATAAGTATGTCTGTATATCTGTAATATATATCAAGGGGAAATTAAAGTTAAATAAACAACCAACCAACTTGGAAACAACGATGTGTCGTACTTATGCCAATTCAGCAGCGGCAACAACAACAATGATAGCAAAGTATAACCTATTTATACATGCAGAGATGCTATGATTGTAGCGGTTTAAAGGATATCTTGTATCTCAGTACTCATTTACACATTTACATTTACACGAGTATGTAAATAACAGTAAAAGCCACCCTCCGTTTTGTTGAGATACATCCGATGCGCTAAAGTCTATTGAACATTCACAAGTGGTTGATCGAATAACAAACAAACACACATATGTATATGAACTTATTTTAGTTATACGATAACCCTGAAGTTATAAAAATCTAGACTCTATAGCAACAAACAGCCGTAGAAGGGTAAAAAGCGCTAAGGCATCCATTCATTATCAAAGTCTGATGAGTTTCCCAAAGCGACGATGAATAACGACATAACCATGGTTACCGGTAAATTATTTGAGATTATATTGTCTTCACAGGGATTATTAGCGAATATCATGAGCTGATAATGCGATTAATTAAATGAGAAATGAAAAAAATCAAGCGGAGAAAACAATGGGAGCATTTTAAATATGCAGGCTTGAAATAAAATAAAATAGATTGAATTTAAATATATCATAAAAAATCATTTAAAAGAAATGAATAAACTAAAGTTAAAAAATACCAAGGAAAAAATAAATAAAATAAAATAAAATAAAATAAAATTAAACTAAATAAAATAAAATAAAATAAAGTAAATTAAAATAAAATTTAATAAAATAAAATAAAAGGAAGACAATAAAACCAAAAAAAAAAAACAAAACAAAATAAAACAAAATAAGATATAAAATTTAATGAAATAGGATAAAATAAAATTTTGAAAAAAAAAAGAAATAAATAAAGAATATCACTGAAAAAAAAAACAAAGTGATATCAAAGGAATGAAAAAGATGAAAGAAAAAACTTTTTATAAAAAAGTTGTTAAAACAGTTCGTGATAAATACCAAAGTAAACCACTAGAATATATGTATTTATTTTAGTTTCGCACGATTATTGTGAATAGTACGCATTCCTATCATCTTGTATCATGAGTTTAGTCTGAATTTACGTTTCAAACGAAGAAACATTGTGAGAAGTAGTGTAAGCCCAAGTCTCTGTGTCGGCCAAAGAGCTTTCTGTCGGGACCTTGCAATTGCTTTAAGATTTTCTCTTCCGTGATTCGGCTACTACGTTCACCACGTTCACCACCTTAACGTAATCTAAACTAACAAGCAGACAATCGTCTAAAAGATTTTACAAAGCAAAGCAAGTGTTAGTAAATAGATACGAATGAAAAAAACTACGTTGACATTTTTTTTTCCAGTTTTATTGAAAAGAAGTAGAAAGTGTCTAAAATGCATTGACTCACACATACATAATGAAAATCCAACGCTAATAGCAAATGCACTCAATTCACTTTCTTCCCGCGCGCTAAGAAGGAAAACGAAATTGATCACCCGTCAAAGTCCGTGTTGTCTTTTCACAGCATTGTTGTTGTCACAAAGCGATGTATCTACAAATCTTCAATGCTCCTCCTCATCATTGTCATCAGTACACTATAGAAACACGCTTGTTGTTATGGTTGTACGCTTTATTACTATTGCTTTTATGCCTCACGCTCTACCAGGATTCTTCTTCTTGCTGTTCGTTGCTGTTGTTATTATAGCTTTTGCTACTCTTATTATCAACGCAGCCTTGTTGCTGTTGTTGTGTATTTTGCACTGAATAAATATCCTGGAGCACGAACGGCACGTACAGACACGTGTTCCATATGCGTGCCTCAGTCCGTCCATCTGTCAGTCCGTCCAACCTGGTAAACCGTGCCAACAAAGAGTGAGGCGGTTTGTGGATGAGTGGGAGAGGAAGGTGGAGTGTGGGGAAGAACGAGTAAAGCGTAGCGAAGAGTGTTGGAGAAATGAAAGAAAGAAAAGTGCCAAACCACCAAACGGCGAACCAAACTGAATCAACTCAATTGAGGCTGCCGACACAGTGAGATTAATGTACGCATTAGTAGATTTAATGCATATTATAGCTATCGTCAACACGGCGGCGGTGGGACGAAGGTAGAGGCATTGGGATTTGCAATAAGTATTTGTATGTATATATTACAAAAATTGCCACGTGTGTGTGCGTGTGTGTGTATTTTAGACTTATGTGCGCTTCCTAGACACCGGTAAAAGCAACAGAGTAAGCCGTAAGTACTCACCGCACAGCGACTGTTGTTTGAAAGCTTCACGACGATTGAGACATTATTTGGGAAATACCTAAATGGTGGCATTGTACTACGTACATACATACTCCATGTATATGTTCAGTATAAACACATATGTATGGGTATATGCAACGTCAGCACTTTGGCAACGACAGTGCCTTTTTTACAAATTCCCTCTCCATCTCTCTTCAAGACCAACAACTTTTGCTATCATGATACCATCATTACCATTACCATTTCCATTACCATTCCCATCCCATTCCCATTTTCAGAGAACAAAAAAAAAAGCGAAAAAATAAACAAAAATAAAAAAGGTTTTCCCAACAAATACCTATAAACATATATGCAGACCTGTGATATTACAGATATATATCTACATTTGTATGCCATTATGTGTGGGTGGGTGTACGTAAATGCAGAATCCTTGAGTCGAAGCAAACAAATAATGCGAAACATTTGCAATTCTTAAAAGCGGCCGGCTCTTATTGTATTCATATTTTTAACGGTTGTTTATTTTTTATTTTAAAGTAGTTCTTGATGCCCATTTCAATCACATCAATACTGTTTTCACCCATATATGTATATCATATGTACATATGTATATATATTTAAAATATTTATGTATGTGTATACCTATGACATGCTCGTATAAGAAGATTTCCAGCACAAGACTCTACGCACGCAATAAGTTTTCGATGGTTTAAAGCAATATTTTTCATAATTTTTTTTAAAGGCTTGGAATTTGATTTAAATTGCAGTGGCACATACATATTGGCCTAGTAAAAGGCAATCCATTATTATACAACTTTAGTGATCCGTACCTCACGTTCTATAAATGCAATTGAATTTTGCTGGTTGGTGTTACAAAGATGACGGGAAACTGCTGCTGGATGCTAAAAGACAATCGATGTATGAGTGCTAGATTAGTCACTTAACTGTTGTGGTCGGAGGGCAGCTCTCCTAGATCTTGGAGGCTCTTATGTCTCCATCATATCGTCCGAATCTTGCACNTGCAAGTTTTCAATAGATGGCGCTGTATGTTGTATGATTTAAATATAAAGTTCGGTTATTTTCAGGACACACCGTGTAAGTCGGATAGTTGATATGTTGTATTTGAGATTTCAAAACCTCAATGGTAGAGAATTTTTTAGTGCAGTCGTTACCGGTAAATGTTAGAAAAATTAAATGTTTTATTAAAGAGAACTTTCAAATCGTTTTCACTATTTCAATACAACAATTTGGGTATCAAAATGGAGAGATTTCAAACAGGTTTTGCAGAGCGTTACAACCTGTTTGAAATTTTTACGGCTTGTTGTTCAGGAATTTTGTTAGGAATGTAAATGGTGCATGCAAATTTCTACTAGGCTTACTGACGGAGGTTTTCGTAGAAGTGTACAACCAGTGGTGATTGCATTAGTAATTTTAAAAAGGGTTTTTAGACAAATATTTCCTAGATCCCAAAGAAAAAATTATGAAATATGATCACTGACCACTGTTGTTGAAAACCAAGAACGTGTTAACTTTTGAGGCAGTATTTCTCCAAATTGAAATCTAAGAAACCGGAATTTATTTTGATTGTGCCGGTCATGTTGCAGGTTACTTTGATGAATAAATCAGCTTTGAACAAAAAATCTCGCTTCCACTGCTAGGCACGGGACTTTCATAGCCATTTGCCACAACCTCTACTACATATTTATATATTCAAATAAGTATTAAATAAACGTCCTTAATATAATGAAACGAGACTGATAGTCCGAACACAACCAAAATACTTAAACCTCATGATCATGGCACTTCAGTTCACTTATACTGTTATTCAAGTTAAGCTTTCCCAAGTAAAGTTATCTTAAATGAAGTGTTGGATTCAAATCTCTGAGTTTAATTTCACTTTAATGATCTTGAAAGTAATTTTTTGCAAAATCATCGCACACTCTGTTAAGTAATAATTAATTGACGTAAATAATTACGACTTCATTCGGCCAATATGCGAATAGAAAATGCTTCACTTCGACATTGAAATGTGATTTGGAAGTGTGAATAAAAACACTCATACATACATATATAATATTAGAGAATGTTTATTTCATATACATAAAGTGGAAGATTTTACTTTTAACATAACGCAAGTCATTTTACGTTTTGAAAATCATTAAAATTCAATTAGGTTTGTGGAGAAAAAATATTTTAATTTTTATATCTATAATTTTTTGACGCATCATCATAAAATATAATGTGAGAAAATGTTTTAATAATGATGGAAAAATTCACTAGAATTTGTTAATTAACGTTAACTTATAATTTCTAAGTAGTTTTTAACTAGTTCCGCAAGAGTCATAGTAAACAAAAATTTACCCTCTATCTATGTACAGATGTATATACTTATAATATGCAAGACAGTTAGATATTTAAAACGCATTACATCTTATACACATATACTCGGTTGCCCAAAAAGTAATTGCGGATTTTTTAAAAGAAAGTAAATGCATTTTTAATAAAACTTAGAATGAATTTTAATCAAATATATAATTGTCATTTTATTCGATAACCTTTTGCCATCTTCCTGGCAAATTTAGTATTCCACGCTCATAGAACTTCTGGCCTTTATCTGCAAAAAACTGAACTAAATGCGATTTTATAGCCTCATCATTGCCGAAAGTTTTACCATTTAAGGAGCTCTGCAAAGATCGAAATAAATGGTAGTCTGATGGTGCAAGGTCAGGGCTATATGGTGGATGCATCAAAAGTTCCCAGCCAAGCTCACTCAGTTTTTGGCGAGTGACCAAAGATGTGTGCGGTCTAGCGTTGTCCTGGTGGAATAACACACCTTTACGATTGACCAATTCTGGTCGCTTCTCCTTGATGGCTGTATTCAATTTGTCCAATTGTTGACAGTTAACATCTGAATTAATCGTTTGGTTCCTTGGGAGCAGCTCAAAATATACGACACCCTTCCAATCCCACCAAACAGACAGCATAACCTTCTTTTGGTGGATATCAGCCTTGGAAGTGGTTTGAGCTGGTTCACCATGCTTGGACCATGATCGTTTTCGACTAACGTTGTTGTAAACAATCCATTTTTCATCTCCAGTTATGATTCGTTTTAAAAACGGATCGAATTTATTGCGTTTAAGGTGCATATCAAAAGCGTTGATTCGGTGTGTTAAATGAATTTCTTTCAATACATGTGGTACCCAAATATCAAGCTTTTTCACCAGTCCAAGACTTTTTATGTGGTAATGAACGGTTGATTTTGGTATATTTAACTTCTCTCCTATCTCACGCTCAGTTACATGACGATCCAATTCGGTTAATGCTTTGATTTGGTCATCATCAACTTCATTTGGCCGACCTGAACGTGGCTCATCTTTAAGTGAAAAATCTCCAGAACGGAATTTGCGGAACCAATTTTGACACTGTCTTCCTTTTAAGGCTTCATCACCATACACATCTCGTAACTTTTTAGCAACCTGCTCCGCGTTTTCTCCTTTACGGAAATAATAAAGTAAAATATGACGAAAATGCTCCTTTGTGGGCTCCATATTAAAATTGACGCCAAACAAGCAAATGTAAACAAAATTTCGCGCACTTTTTTTCTAAAGCAAGCTAAAAGTAACAGCTGATAACTGACAGAAGAAGGAATGCAATTTTTGTCAACGCCGACTATATGAAAAATCCGCAATTACTTTTTGGGCAACCCAATATGATTGTATCTGCATACATACACGTATGTACATATAAAAGGGTAATGTTAAAATCTCAAATGACTCCAATTAATGAGCGATTCACATGTGTTATTTCAATTCTCAATAGTAATTTACCTGCAGACACATGCTTACATACATAGAGGCAAGCAGTAGAACTTATTTAATTGCATGCTTTTGACATACACAAAACATTTCTAACTGACTCTGTTAATATGTATGTACTTACATATATGGATAATATATATGTAAAATAACATTAGTAAATTATTATGGAAACTGTTCTATACATACAAACACGAATATCTTCTTCAATCAGCATGTTCTTGTACATAAGTATGTATACGTACTCTCACATACATATCTACATATGTGTATATGTAATTGTATACAAAATTATACATGTGTATTAAAAAAATATGTGCAAAATTTACCAAAGAATTAGTAATTTTTTTTAAAGTCTCTTTGTACTTTTGCGAAAAATTCACTTCATTAAAAGAGCATTAAAATTACATTTTGATGTCACAGCAAATACAAAACGAAAGGAATTATCATAGTCCATCGTGTGAGTGAGAGTTTTGTAATTTACCTAGAAAATAGGTGTGCATACATGGCGAAAGTAGCGTCGAATGATTGACATGTGCTTGGAATCACAGTGGGTAAATCTCTGTGTAAACAAAAACAAAAAAAAAATTAAAAAAAAAATAACAAAATATAATTTTCCGTTAAATGATTCAGCTCAAAAAGACCTTCGACTCGATAAATAAATAAGTAAAATTAATTAAATTTTTTAATTAGAATTAAGGATAGGTTAGGTAACCTGGCCGGCTCAGAGAGTCTCACATATATAAAAGTATTAACATACGTGTATAGTGCTGCCAGACACAATACATACGACCAGGCTGCACTGCTACTTTTTTTGTTGTGTCTCTAGTGTGAAGAGCATTGCTCTGTTCTTCGTAAATTGAAGTAGTCGTTTTGGCCCCTTGACGGTTGGAGATTGAGGTCGTGTAGCCTTTCTGCGTTTCACAGCGTTTGTTTGTCGAATACTGGACATCTACATATTACGTGCTCCACTGTCTCCACCCATTCCCTGCATTTCCTTCACTTGTTTTTTTTTATTGCGTTCAACGCAAGTGTGACCTGGCCGTAAAAGTTAACCGTTGGAATCCTGGCCCTATCAACATCCAAAATTATCGAAAATCAATTTAAATAAAAAATTAAGTAAAAATTTCTAGTTGAGGTTTCCCCTCGGCAAGAAATGTCAATGCTTTTCTGACGTGAAATCACATGCATTTCCTCACTAAAATCCAGTGGCCAATCGGATTGGCTTAGTACAAATCGTGGGTCCCTCTATTTGTTCGGAAAATACCAAGACGCAAAACCACAATTGGAGGAGGAGCTCGGCCGAAAATCGCTACAGCGGTTATAAATCGCCAATTATATATACATATGGACACTAGCAAAGAGAAAATACGATAAGAGAGAAAACGCAAGGCAGGCGGCTGAGCGTTTATGGTCCTGATACTGTATCAGCCAGTCACGTGCGATTTTGGTTTCGTAGATTCCGTTCCGGTAACTTCGATGTCAAAGTTGCACCACGCACTGGAAGGCCAATTGTCGAAAATGTCGATAAAATCGTGGACAGTGTCGAGTCCGATCATCATGTAAGCTCCGTTTCGATTGCCTAAGAGTTAAAGATTGCACAAAATACCAACCGGAAGCATTTGAATATGGCTGGGTATGAAAAGAAGCTGGATGTATGGGCCACATTTGCTAATGCAAAAAAGCCTCAGGGACCGACAACGTTGTGTTTCATCAGGACAACGCCAGGTCACACACATCGATAGTGACTTGCCAGTAGCTCCGGGTGTTTCGTGGAGAGGCTCCTAAGCATCCACCTGACGCCAAGTGATTACCATCTATTCCTGTCCCTGGCGAACAATTTTGCTAATTAAAACTTCGCTTCAAGAGAGGCTAGTAAAAATACGAAGAATTTTAGCAAGAGTTTCCAGAAATTCAGGCGCGGGATTACGCGATTCTATTTGACCTGACATTTAATAATAATTATAATATTCTTTAGCTAGTAAAACCATTTAAAAATTCTTAAATTCGTTTATTATTCGTGTCATTTAAATTTTAAATAAGCGAATATTATATTGATAATCAAGTTATATTAATTAGAATTTTTTTTCGAATTCGTAATTGTTTTCGAAAATTTCGAAATTGGTTTCGAAAAACTCGAAATTGTTTTCGAAAAATTCCAAATTGTTTTCGAAAATTCGAAATTGTTTTCGAAAAATTCGAAACTGCTTACAAAAAATTCAGAGATAATAAAATTTTATTAGAAGTGCAACACTGTACTTTCAATGAATTCAAAAAGCATGGCAAAATCTGGTTGTTTTCCTTCGCTCAAAAGACAAAAGGCGCATTTAATTTACAAAGTATGCAAGAAAGATGCAAAGAAAATAGAAAAAGTTTCTAAAGAGAAACTCTGTGAGATTAGTGTTTGTGTTGTGGTTGTGCGAAATTTAACTTTATTTCATTTCAAGGCTTTTCTTGTCTTTTTTTATTTTAATTTTCTACAATTTATTTATTTATTTTCTGTTTCTGTTGTTATTGTTGTTGTGGGAATATATGCAATAATGAGCTCTAGCTTTTGTTTCATCACTTTTAATCTCAAAATGCCTTCATTGTCTCCAGCGTGTCTTCAGCGCAGAGCTACTTAAGAGAAAATGTTTTACATATGTACATACATACATGCATACATCCATATTTATAAGCTATTCTTAGTTTCTGTGTATTTGGAGCTGTGTGAAAGAGGTATTAAGGTAATATGTATGTGTGCGTTAATTAAAATCTATTTTTAATAAAATTATAAAATGCTGCATACACATACACACATATTCTAATAAATGTTTCCCTTTCCTTATTTTACAGCTTCAGGGCGTGCACCACCAGAGCCCTACTACGGTCGCTACATCGGAGAATTTACTAATTTCGCGCATGGCATAAGGGTAAGGGAAAATAATATTCTTTGCTCTGTTTGACATTTTTTTTCATATTTATACTAATAGTTTAAATCATAAATGAATAGAAAATATTTGCTATAATTTTTCAAAATCAAAAAAAGATTTTTAAAAAAATTTTATGGAGACCGAAGTAAAGGACTTGAGTTTTTTTTGTCACAGTTTTTCTCAAAAATCTTGCAATAATATTAAAAAATACTAAATTTCAATATCTAATGATCGTTTGTTAGTATTGCACATATGCTTCTCCTTTGAAAGTCTTACTTTTGCATTCGCTAAGTAAATAGCTTAACGCATTTGCATTTAGTTCACAAAGATATCTATGCATTCACACTACCACTGTGCGCATTGCCTAACCGCATATGTATGTTTCTTCGCATATCCTTTTTCGTTTACCACCATATGTAGAGATATCCTTTGTGCTGCACTTCTCAATCGCTTTGTGTTTCTCTCTACACAAATAGTTTGCCGTGAGCATAAGAAAGCATACTTACCTGGCGTAGAGGTAAACCGTGATCATTAAGGCGGTTCCTCCGGAGCGAGACTTAATCATTGCACATCCGATTGGGTTGACCTCTGCGATTATTCCTAATGTGAATAACTCGTTCGTGTAATTTTTGGTAGCCGGGAATGGCGTACGCGCCGTCCCGACATTATTGAATACATTCAAAAAGGCTTAAAATATATCTAATAACTAGAAAAGTGATTTTTTCAACTCAGTAAAAGATACAATATACAAGAGTATATATATATAGATATCCGAGGATATTTCGAAATTAAAATAGAAAAATAAATATTAACCATCGAAATCGCTTTTTTATTTTTCAAAATATTTTGCACTAAGATCTGTGCAATTTTGCCTGCCTTTGAACCATTTTCGAAGCTCTTTTGTTTCTTTGATTGAAATGTCTGCAACTGCTCTTCTAAGTTTATTTTTCACTTACGGGAATAAATAGAAACCACTCAGAGCAGTGTCAGGACTATATGATGGATGACTCGTCAAATATATATTTTTTGAGTGCTCAAAAACGCAGCTATAAATGCTTTTGCATTTGTCAAAAGGTGCTGAAAAGAATTTAAGGACCCTTTTGTAACTAAAGCAATTTATGCGACTTTGGTGAGGCCAATATTAGAATATCGTTTACTGGATATGGAACCTCAATTATCAGGTTCATTCCGATAAGTTGGAGTCTGTTCAAAAACAATTTTTACTTTTTGCATTAAGATATTTCCGATGGAACTCTGTGATGAATCTTCCTCCCTTTACCAACCGTTGAAAGCTTCTAAATCTACCTACTTTCGTAAGTCGTAGAGAAATGTTGGGCGCATTGTTCGCAGTGAAACTTCCTAACGTATCAATTTGTAGTTCGTGGCTCTTATGTAAAGTAAGCGTTAATGTTCCAACTCGTGATTCAAAGCAGTTTAGGCCTTTACTATTCAAGTCATGTAAAACAAATTATGAATTGAATGAACCCTTTCGACGATTACGTCAGAAGTTTTCATTCCAGTACCTTCGATCTCTCAGATTTACCTTTTAGCAGAGTACTTAATTTCGGCTGCTGAATAATTCTTTTTTTTTTGTAGCTGAACAGTTTTAAATCTCAACGCTTAGCAAACGCTTCCCAAACATGACTCAGCATATTCCGTAATTATGCGGATGTCGCCTTTCGTATCGGTTGGGCGTGTGGAGGTTATTCGTTGGACTTATTACTTAATACAAAAAAAAAAAGAAAAAAAAGTGATCCGTTTTCGGCCGTTTGAGGGAACAACTTTTGTTAGGCTCGGCTCATCATTGAACATTCATCCACATGGCCGACTGCTGTTTACTTTCGGGCTCATATGCGTAAATCGTACGATGTCATGTGTTTCAAATCACCGCTATTTCTTTACAATACTCGTATATCTCTCAATCAATTTATGGTTCGATTTTCGTAAAATTCGGTACATAGACGGCTTTTTCGAAAAAATCCCATTTATAGTTTGTAACGGCGCAGATAATTATTTACGTTTATATAGTATAACATGCAAACATACATTCGATGTCATTTCTTTATTTTCACATAGTAATTTACGATCATTTCTTTTATCGTATACTTTTATTTAAGCCACGGATGTGCTTTATGAAGATGTTCTTAATGTTCTAATACCGAATTGTCGCCAAGGCTGTCTATACCTAAACTGACCAACTGTAACTTATTAAATATGTTATGTTCTAAGTTTATTCATTCCTTTGGATATTTAAGCATTAAGAATTAACATTGTGAAAGGTTGGATTCATTCGAACAGCGACATGCAAATAAAGCACACGCGTTAGCCGTATTATCTTCCGCTATTTTCTCTTTACAAGCAGGATTGGTAGCTTAGTATTAATTGGACAACAGTAGACACTCGTGGCTCTGGCGGCAGATAATATTGAGTATTCGTTAGGGAAACTAATTCCTTTCCTACAAGCTGTTTTTATTTGAAGTTCATTTTTTAAGGAAACATTCATTGTTCGATTTGGTTAGAAAGGGATCATCGACAAAGTGACAGAAAGCCACTGCAATGTATGGCCGGGTCTGTAGAGTAAAATTATGAAAATCACCATCAATTTTGTTTAAGTAATACAACTTGAAAAAAAATAGTACAAATACTTTTTAAAAAACATTGCTTTTGCTCAAACCATTTTTGTTTTTAACTGTAGCCATAGAAAATACGAGGGATATTGAAAAAATTCTTTGTTAAAAGGCAATTAAAGATTTTATATCTATTTATTGATACAAAATATATTATAAAAGCGTTGTTGTTATATAGAAATCTACTTGTTTTGTGAATTTGAATATGAATGACTTCAATATTTCTGTCCGAATGAAAAATGTTGCTTTAAGTTTAGTCTTTGTACGCTCCTTTATGCACTTAGTATTTATTTACCACAAACTACATAACTAATAGTTTTTTAATAAACAATATACACATACATATACACATACACTACTTTAAGTAAATACGTACTTTCTAATATCAATTAAATATCTTCCAAAACTTTTCCCTAGGGCACCATTTATGCCGTCGACGAATCAACGTTATTCATAAAATCATTTGCATATGATGGCACGGGACCGGATGCGTTCTTCTGGGTTGGTAAAACTCCACGTCCAAGTCCCGAAGGATACATCATACCATATCCAGAAGAGTATGCTGGCATGTAAGTACACACGTATATATGTATATACATATATACTTGCATTTATTTATAGTTGTATTCAAATGTATTTAGTTTAAAAATCTACTCCTATCATATCATTTACACACATATACATACTCGCATAAATGTATTTGTTTGCAAAAATGACTTTTGGAATTAATCTGAATGCTAGAATGATGAAAGTTACAAGTTCACTTCAGTGAACAGATACACCTACTTATATTTGAAAATTGTTGTTAACTCATTATTTTTTTTAATAAATTAATTAAATTAAAAAAAGGAATATTGTTTACATATTTTATTGCTTTACAATTCAAGAGTTTTACGAAATATTTTATTAACAAAGTATTTTCAAAAATGTTAAGGAGGAAATTTGCTTCAAATATTTCCTTCATGCGATGTTCCAAAAACTTAAAATACTGTCTCAAATATTTCGTATTTTTCACGTCAGTCTCAAAGGGCCCCTTCAGGTGTAACCAAGTTGACAATAGAACCACTTCGAAAAATTAAAAGCATTTTTTATCGTTACCTTGCGAATACACTTAAATATGTATGTACGTAACATACGTAACCATATATTTAGAAATTAATTACTAAATGATAATAGTTTTACAAACACATAGATTTATTATGACCTCGACTTATTAACTAAACCGACGACGACGGACAAACTTAAACATAAACGAAGTCAGTCATCGTTATTAAGGTTGCGGGTTACTAATGTCAGGGTCGCATTTCTTACTACCTTCTGATCCCACATATACGCAGTTGCGTGTATTGCATATCTACGCGTATATTCCCATGTCCCTAAGGAGAAAAAGATAAGCATATTTTCTAACAAGCAAGGTCCGCGCCAAGAAAAATTAGACTGAACACTACCATGCGGAGGATTCGGGTTTGATGCCTATTTCGCTAGCTGTGTGTGGCATGTAGCGCCGTCTTGTTGGAACCGGGGTCGTCCGCATAAACTTTCTCCAAAGTGAGCTTCATTTTCTTGGGAAAATCGCGATCAGTGAACAACTCGTTTTGGGCCCATACGCCGAACGTGTGACGTGCTTGATGAGGATTTTGTTAGTCCACAACCCAGATTCTTCGCTAAAATCTTCCATAAAAAATTTTCCTACGGTAAAGCATGCCGTAAGAGGCGACTAAAATTAAAATTTTTCCAAGAAAGCCGGGTCTTTATATCGGAATGACCTGAATTTTTATCCGACCAAGCTGTCGGTCGAAAATCGTTCGTTTATGAAATGTTTATGCTCAAATAGCCCAAGACACTGAGTACAAATTATTTAATAGCTGTCAAAAAGACCAATTCCGAAAAAGGTGTTGCCTCAAAGAAAAAAAAAAGAAAAAACTTCATTTTTGAGAAAAATTACATTACAATTTGTGGTTTTTTTCCAACACATCGAATATATAAATAAATGAGTTTTATTTAATTTTTTTTATAAATTATATACGAGTATATGTAAGTGTAATTGGCGCTTTGTTACCGCTGATGTGATTTTCGGCCGAGCTCCTCCTCCAAAGTGTGGTTTTGCGTTTTTCCAACAAATGGAGGGGCCTACAGTTTATATTAAGCCGCGTCCGAACGGCTGACGTTTCCTTTATGTGGAGCCTTGATTTTTATGTCCGAAATAAACTCGGAGGGGTTGACATTCCCTGGCGAGCGTCGACCGCAACTAGAAAATTGTAGCTTATTTTTTTTATTTAAATTAATTTTCTATAACTTTCTGATGTTGGTCATGCCGGGACTTGAATCCGGACCTTCCAAATGACAACACTCGGCTACCGCGGCCGCCAAATTACTTTTTTTGATATTTCAAAAATTTCTTAGATTTAACTTGGCTAAATTTCATATACTATGTACGCATATGTAAATGTGCTTCACAGTTAAAACAATAAGCAAATATAACTACAAACCAATAAATACTAACATTTTACATACATATTTCACGATCTAATGAATTTCAAATGTCACGTGAAGGTTACTGCCAACGCATTGCTCAGTAGCGGTAGTTTTTTCTTTAATTTAAATTCACTATTCTTTGCAACTTATGTTCGTTCGACCCTTTTCTAGTTGCCAACAAAAATTAAGCCATTCTTATCCCCGCTTATCTGCACTTGTCAGTTGTCAGCCGTGAGCACTGAATGGATGATGCAGCCATACAACCTTGCTTTGCACACCCGCACTTCGAAATGCTCTTCCTTCGTTGTCTTAATTTGTCAACGATTGTCAGTTTGAGAATTTTCGCGAAAGAAAGACTCACGAGTGAATTTAAATTCGTCAATCTTAGGCGAAGACTCTTCATATCCAGCTGGCGAATCTGTATACATACTGTCATACTTACCGATTAGCCCACCTGACTTTTAGGTTAGGGTGAAGTGCAATCGAGCAATGCAAGTAAATATTACATATGAATACACATACATACGTGTACACTTGTTGTGTGTGTGCATTTCTTCAAGCTCACACATTTACATATTTGCAACTCATCAAAGCAGCTCATTTAATCTCTTACTTTGAGCTTTTACTTGGCGTTCATGTGCTTTTTAGAAAGGGATAAAAATGTGGTTCGTATTTGTGGCAAAAGTGGTGGCGCACAAAAGAAGCACTTGGCATTCAATGAGATAAATACCTGCTAATTTTAAATTTAAATATTAAATAACGTCTAAGTCTTCAAGGTTTGGAATTATTTAATATGAAGAATGAATGTGCCGACATTGCGACTCTACGCAAAAAAAAAAAAGAATTCTTACACGCATAATTAAACGTTCATAAAAAGTAGGGTGAGCCAAAGAGTCGAAGTTATCCCATTAATGGATTAAAATGAATCTCTATTTACTGAAAGAGAATTCTTTGCAAGCCAGGATATTTTGCTCAATTTCAAAAGGTGTCGGTGACTAGTCAGATTTTTGTTGAACGTGGTCTATTGTAAATAAAAAGGCATTCCCATGTTTGCGGCTTTACCTAATAATATCCCTTAGGCTTATAAAATTGGCGCAGAAGCGATTTTCAGCCGAGTTACTGCCACAATTTTTTGTATGCATCTAGTTGTTTTCTCAACAAATGGAGAGACCTAAAGACTATTCGAAGTCGCCGCCGAACGCCCAACGGATTTTTTGAGAAAGAGCCTGTATTGAAGTGCACTCGGAGGTCTAAACATTCCTTGACGAAAGGCGATCGTAAATAGAAAAAATAATTTTTCAATAGGATAGAACATGATTGCGCCATTCTGATCGGATTAAACTAATCTTCCGATCAAAGCCGGATTTCAGAACAGCTCTGATCAACTTGCTAACGATTTGCATTATTTAAAAGATTTCAAAAATTAAAAAAAAAAAATAAAATAATATGAATATATTTCACTGTGTATAACCAATTTTACGTATATTTATTTTCGTACATTTCTTGAAGTAAAAAGCAACCCTGTCTCCTAGAAATTTGTGCAAATTTTCTTACCTAAGCGAATACGGCCGATCTTTCATTCGAGAAAAATGGTGATATGCAACACTATAAAAGATGCAAAGACAGATCTAATATTATTAAAACAAAACAAAAGGTTTTGAGACATCGCATGAATAAAAACTCATTTTTAGATAATCTCCAAGCACAATAATAATTGAAGCCAGCGTCGCATAGAGATTAAACGTGTGGAGCAGACCAATCGATTGAGTGAAAATAAATTACGTAGTCGATTCAGCAGAAGGAACCGAGCGATCGTTATGCGCTGTCACTGTCAATTGAATTTTTAAAAACGATAACGTTCCAAAACACACAGTAGTTGTAGTAAGGAAGCAATTTTCCTCAGAGTAAACCCAATCGTGAGCATATGCAAACATCTCAATGAGCACTGAACCTGTGCACAGAATCTCCGGCTTGGTGGTTTTTGCTGTAAACAGTTCCACATATTGATCTTCCTGCTTTTATACATACCTCGTTCTCTCAGTTCAAACTAATGTCGGAACAGATTCTATCTTCCCATGTTTTTTTCAACTGAGTCGCCTGGTGGCTCAGTCTTTGCAGTCTTCTTGTAATATTTTCATCCGACTTCTTGAATGGAGAGTTGACTCTTTATACGAGGATACTTTTATCACTAATATGCTACCTGATTAGCGTAAATAGCTCGTCAGAAGTTATGATTCAACAACGGATAACTTCAAAAATACTAAACTGAGTGCAAAGATTCGTTGTTAACGGCTTTATTATAAGCAGAATAACAGAGATATAGAGACATTAACTAAATCATATACACATACGAGTACACCATAGATATATTCAAGTAACAACGGAAAAAAAGTGAAAACATTTTAGTAACAGCAACAACAAAAAGGCGGAAAATGAATGCAGGATGTATGCCACTACGGAACTTCATATATTGTAATCGACTTTAATGCGTTTCATTGTTGATGCCACGTGTCAGGCTTTATTAGTTGGTACGTTCAACGCCTGCCAGACAGGAAAACACCCACACCAACAACAACATTGACAACAACACAACATTCATAACATTATAGCGGCACACCGCCGACGTTGAGGCGACTCGGTTGGTTGGGGTTGAGTTGATTGGTGGCGTGGCAACAAACGGAGGCAACGATTGCATGCTTTTACGCTTTCAGGTACATTACCCACTCCCACCTCCCCACTCTCACTCCCACTCCTCCAACACGGCTATGCAGGCGATTGTCACAGTGATGATATCTAAGACGACGCGTCATGAGGAGTTTGGGCTCTTAATGTTTCGAGGTGATTTCCCATTTCAGTTTCGCTTTCATACCTTTCCTTTATATTCTTTTTTACAATTTTTTTTTTTTTTTTTGTAATTTTGGCTTAGGTTTTCAGGGTTGATTTTGTTGTGTTGATTTGCGTTGAGTCTGAGGCTCTAATTTATTGAATTCTATAGCGGCATATAAGAAAGGATATAAATAATATACTAATAACGGTGATATGTGCTGGAAGATGTGAGATATCAGTTATCGAATTGATTATTTGTAAAAGAGCAGGTGGGTGTGAAAGAGTGGAAGGCAGAGAGTGGAATTGAAATTGTGTGGTGTAAATAGTATTGTCATATATGTACGAGTACGTATGTAAGTACGTTAATATAACGGTTATTTAATTTATGTTAGTCGTTTTAGTGGGCCGGCTCGCAGTCTTAATCAAAATTTTAATTAAACTTGGCTGTTTAACTTGTGCAAATGTTATTTTAAGATTTAAAAAAATAAAAATTGAAACAGAAAATTGAAAACAATCGCTACGCATCATCGCCAGTTAGCGCTCAGGTCGCCGCGGTGCGTTCAAAGACGTCTGGTGTTTGAATGACTATGATGAAACCCAAGCTTCTATGATCTCGATCAAAAACGCCAAAAAACCAGTCTGCTTAAAAGGACAGAAGTTATTGACCTGCATTCTCAAAGAACGAGTTATCTTTGATTTTAATCCTATGACTACAACAATTGGAGTCTTTCATCTCCTCAGATGCATATATCCAGGGTCATTTTGGCTGCACGAGACCTCACCCCTTTCTTTCCTTTAACTAGACTATGAAAAATGTGATTCTATAAGCTCCTAAGTATTGCCTTGCTTTTTTACTGTCATAGATAGTACGCGACTATAACCGAGTCAACAGCAGCGCGAGGTTCATCCCTTCATTTCGATGCTCAACGCCAATCCTAAGTACCAGGTACATTCACCTCCTTCTCCACCTGGTCCTTACAATGAGGTGGAGGTCTTTCTGAAATCTAATAAGGTTTAAGGAGGAATAAGCTTTTCTGAAACCTTGTTGGTAACGAACGCCTGGGAGAGGTCTTACCGATCCTAACGAAGCTTTTGGTGTTGCTCAACGTCAGTTTACCCATCTGTAAAAGTCGTGCGAGGATACCAAATTCAGACATAGTGGCATAGAAGCAGCTCCTTTTCGTTCTGTCGATGTTTGCTTCAAAATTTACGGAGGGGAGGTATTGATCCTTTTTTCAAAGGTTGTTTTCGATATTTGGCGCATGATTAAATAGGTCTATGGCCACGTTGGTAAGGTCCAACCAAATGTTTGGCGGTGGCATTTAGTCCCTCTCACAATGCTTTTCACTGGACCTTCTGTTTTTCGTGGTGTTCATTTTGGGTTATAAAAAGAATATATTTTATTTGACTTTATTAAAATATTTTGAGTATCCAGTTTCGTAGACCTATGAATATTATATGTCATATAAAGCCTCACTTGCCTCCCTCGTTCCGTCTGAAAGTGTGTTATAAAATATAAAAAATTCTGCTTGTCGTCAGAAAACTTCTTTGTACAGTAGAGTGGTTAGGACAATTTTTTTGAAAATAAAGAAAAGCTTTCAAATAGTTAAGTATTTGGGACATGGTACACACGCACATACGTGTATGTATACTTAAAATACCCTGAAACGCCCAAAACTATACAACATTCTGTTAGACACTCATTAGTTGTGACAGCTTTAAATGGCTGTGACTTTGGCTTTGCACTTCAATGCATTCTTTCCAGCCAACTACACCCCAGCCTCGCCAACAGTACTCCCGTTTAATTTCACTTCATTTTATGCATATCAAGTCTATAGACAACTTCATGCCAGCGGCCAAAAAAAAGTAGATAAAAATCATTGCAGTTCGACCAGCTTCTGGGTTGTAGGGGGAGCGACACTCTGCGGGAATTGCTAACTGCAATGGTAGACTTGCGTTATGTTCTTTGCTCTTTTCACTGGAATAACAACTTGTTTGCATATTTTTTTCGCTTTTTATTGTTGCTGGCAACCAATCATGTTTAATTATCTATGCTGACAATCATAATTCACGTTTTTCACCAACACACACACACACATCTCTGTTACGCAAACTCGAAACTTTTCTAGTCGAAATCACCCATAATAAATTTGCTTTGGACTTGGTTTGTGCTTGAGTCTGGGGATCCATGGAGCCATGCAACAAATACTGTACATACTTTTGTTTTCACGCCATTGAAACACAATCGAAATGAACATAAACGAATAAAGTGCGTGAAAGAGGGAAATAACCACGTGACAATGAATGGATGCGCTGAGCAGAAGTAATTAAGTTAGCGTATCGAAGAGTATAAAAGAAGGAAGCGTGATTAACGTGAGCCACACGTTGCTCGGCAGTTGTTCCGTCACTTGTCGGCGTGAAGAACTGTTGCTCATCTGCATAATTATGAATTCAAAATAACACTTATGTATTTATATGTACGAGTATTTAACCCTGCGGAGAAAACATCCTGTACAAAACTGGTATGCAACTAGTTGGTTTCCTTCAGCATTTGTCCGACTATGCAGCAGCTTCGAACCAGTAAAATACCAGTTCATTTGTGATTGCTGAATTACCATATCGCATAAAAAATACAAATACTTTGGAGCTCCAAGTGGTTGGAGGTGCATTTGGCTATCGTGACTATACGAAAAGTAAAGATAAATCGCGAACGACCACGTAATGTAACTGAAAATAAAAAAAAATCATTGGTGAAATAAAGGCTTCTCATAAAAATTCATGTTTGCCAAAATTTACACCTCCAGATGTATGCAATAATGAATATGTATGTACATGTATCTGCTTTGGGATATCCGGTCCTTTGTTCAATGCTGATTTATGCAGACCTCATTTATGCTGCAAATACACAACGCACGTACCAGCCGTCCATAGCAACTTAACTTATGAGAGCGCCATGTAAACACAAAGTTGTCACCACTTGCCTATGCCGTTAGTGACGGTTGTCCCGCAGAAACCAACGAAGATTTGATTTTTTCCGTAAAACCGGCTCGGCTCATTTTTCGTTGCTATACAAGGTTGCCAGCATGGGCTTTCTTAAAGTAACATTAAATAATCGAAGAAAATGCATAGTTTTTTTCAAAAGAAATGAAAACTAAATGCGTAACTAATTATTTGTTACCATATAGATCATGTATATTTGTCTTGTGTTTATATTCAAGCATATAAATTATGAAATTCGTTGACGAAAATTATGAAATTCGTTGACGAAAATTATGAATTTGTTCAAAAGTGTGCAAACCCACTGGCAGCTGGCAACATTTTGCCGCCCTCAGTAGCGTCGATAACTCGTGTATGTAGCTCGCCTTGACGTCGCCAGTTATGGACGGCGAGAGCGAGAGGCAAGAGCTTAAAATAGAGAATGAATATTGAATTTGAATAGCGAGTAGCGTAGGTGGTCGTTTGCGTATAGTGGTATGACCTTATCGAGCCATCCGTCCACACGCCGACGTAAAACCTAAATACTGCTCTCTTCGGGCCCTGGGATCATTTTGGTAATATAATATACGCTAAATCTCGAGAGCTCAAATATTAAATTTGCAGTTAATGGTGCAAATGAGCTGTATTATTTAGAATATTAAAATATGACTTTAATTTGTTTTTAACTTAAAGTCCTTTATGGTTTTTTAATTGAATTTTAATGTCTGCCGCACGTGACAAGTTCGACTTTGAAGAATTTTCGAACCATAAATCTTTCTCTGAAGAATTTGGTAAGGATATTCATAATCAAAAATGATAATCACTCTATAAGTGTGTAGCACTATGCGGAGGGTCATGACTTCGAATCGAAAAAAAATCTAAATGCCCCTCAGGAGGCAATGTCAAAGCCCCCGATACATAGAACTCCTCATAAAAAACCATTAAGGCCTTGGATGCGGCTTAGAATAAACTGTAGTTCCCTTACATTAATTAGAAAGAAGCTTTGCAGACAATAATAGCATTAACAGCGCCTACTTATCCACAAGTTTAAATATTTTTCATCGTGCCAAATCAGTCTTTTGCTGTTAAATGCACTTTCAGTCAATGTGAATATGCATCTTTCACTCTTTTTCTATATCATGGAATTTATTCATTAAAAGCGACCACTCAGAAGTCGTTTCATCCATTTTATAATCGAGCGATCATCGAAGAAACTACTTTTCCAAAATGCCTTAGGACATAATTAGAAATTAAGTTCATATACCTCACGCTGTTAGATGAAACGATATCGCTCCTCATCGCGGGTCTGTCGACTTTCGATTTGCAAAGAAAGTAAATGAAGACTGACTACAGAAATGATCCTGTGAAGTATAGTCTTAACTTTTCAACGGTCGATGTCGACCTTTTCAATGCAAAGTGTCATAAAATGGTTGAGAATTTGTGGAGATGTAAATTAACATGGACGAAATGTATACAAAGACACAAAAATAAACTCTAGACGAAAATGAATGCAAAGGACCTTCAAAGCAGTTTGGGAGATACTTACACTTAGCTACATACATACGTGTACATATATATCTGCAGGTATAACAACGCGTTTGCTTAAATACTGTGAGCTCATGTATGTTAGTTTGTGTTTTTTGTATCTGTCAAAATTCGGCATGTAAAACGTTTAATGTTCATACATACATACATATGTATATACTGGTGTCCTTTTTCTCAATATTGTATACCTGCATATTAAACAATTACTAGCATTACTTTTATACATACATATGTACATACACATAAACGCGTATTTTGTTAACTTCATGCAACAACCATTAAAGCATTTTCACTGGTAAACCAAGCAACTCAGCATTCATTAACGATTCATCAGTCATTATCCTAATCACCACTGACGCAGTGCATTTGTCGCCTTTATATTTTTACACTCTTTTGTGCACCCTCTATCTCTGCACGTGTGCATTACAAGTATACATGTATGTATGTGTGTATGTATGTGCATATACATATATATATATGTGACTGTCACGTTCTCACTTCATAATCCAGCTTTATACTCCCCTGACAATGAGTTCACACACACTTCAGCCCGTCTCATCTGCAGGCATACACATTTCACTTGCATTTACCGTTGTCGTTGATAAAATTACTTAAAGATAATTAAATTTTAGCTCCATTGAATTTAGGGAACAAGAATGCGTTTTAAAGTCAGCAGAGAGAGAAAACTTGTTAAAAACTTAGTTGCTTGTTGCGTTTCTTCGCAAATTTGAAGGGTGCCAATATATCGTATTTTGAATTAATTTACTTTAGTTTGATATGTATATTTAATTTCAAGTAAAAATTAGTAAGCCAATTTTTTACTTGATTTTCTTTCATTAATTATTTTACCATTTTTTATCCTTTTAATTGCATATGTGTTTATTTTATTTCTTTTCCTGCATCTTATATTATTTAATAAATGTAATAATTTATTTAATTTAAGTATAATCTCATTTTGTTTTGTATTTTTCGGTTTTTTATTTCATTTAAATTAATAAATTTACTTTAATTTGATCAAATTTAATTTTAAGAATAAATAATCTGAGCTTATTTTATTTTTATTATTTGAGCATATTTATTTTCTTGACTGTTTTTTATTTTGTTCAATAAAATTGACAAATATTTTTTTACATTTTTGTTATTTTAATTAAATTAATTTTTTTTATTTTACTTATTTCATTGCATTTTAAATTAATTATATATTTCTATGTTTTAAATTAAATTTTGTTTGTTTTATTTTATTTACAACATTATTGTAGTATTTTATTTTAGTCTAATTTTTTATGTTATGTTATTTTTAATTTCATATTTTTAATTTGATTTAATTTAAATTAATTAATTGTATTTTTATTTCATTTTATTTTAATTTATTAAACTCAATTTAATTTCATTTTATTTACTTTGATTTAATTTAAATACATTTGATTTAATCTTCTTTTATTTTTTTTTATTATATTTTATTTTATTTTATTTTATTTTATTTTATTTTATTTTATTATATTATATTATATTTTATTTCATTTCTTTTTAATTTAACTTATTCAATTTTTCTTCATTATGCTTTGTTTTTGAGTGTTTTATTTTGTATTTATTTTATTTTTATTTTATTTTATTATTTAAATTATTATAATTTCTTTTTATTAAACATTTGTAGTGGTCTTAAAATTTTTTCATTTAGTTTATTCATTTAAATATTAACAAGTGTGCTTGCCACATCATTTCCATCACTGCCATTAGTACCACTTCGTCTACCCATTGAAGTCCTCTTTTTTACTCATTTATGCCTATTTGGCTGTGCTTTTAGATGTACTTCTGTATGTATGAATGTGCATATTACCTTGCAACCGCCAGAGTCCATTATCATTTAAATTTAATTGAGTAGTCATCATTTGGCGTTGTTCATCATTTTACCATCTGATTACGCATTCATACACGCTCACATTCACTCATTCATCATCAGGCACTTACAAGTGTCATGGACCGACAAAACCAGTACATCGGCCGCTCCTCAATTAAATGTGTTCCTCATATTTTTCGGGGTGACTTTTTGTGTATAAAATATTTACCACTCGAAAATTAATTTGCCTATGTTCACATTTTTCGGTGTTTACATACAAATATTTTAACACAAACGTACATACAAATATCCATACGAAAATAATGGTTTAATATTTGCCTTGGATGTGTATATATGTATGTGTGCACGTATATGCATTTACAATTTTTTACATTTCTTCTTGTGTTTACTACAAAGATATTTTGTGAAGCAACAGGTATTTTTTTTATTAAGGATAAATATTTAACGGAAATACGCGCTTCTTACAAAAATGAATTTTAGTAATATAAATAATATAAATATATACTCGTATGTATTTTTTATACGAATTAACACTTAATTAGAGTACAACAAAATAAAATAAATTGAAATGAAATAAAATAAAATTCGAAAAAATGTAAAAATTAAATAAAATAAAAATAAAAATGAAAATAAAAAAAAAAAAATAATAATAATAATAATAATAATAAATGAAACGAGAAAAAATATTTGACCAATTCGATAAAAATTGAGATGTTCCTATGATATACACAATCGGAATCGTGGATATGTATATATGTCAGCAATTTGAATGAAAAATATGTATGGGCATATGTGTACATATATAGTATAGGCTCGACTCATCTTTCTTACACTTTGTTGGACGCATAACATACATATGTATGTATGTCCTTTTTGTTCAGTCTCAAAGACATGCATGTCCTTATTGCTACAATTCTCAACCACATTGTATTTCTCTCTACTCAAATACCTTGCCGCGAGCATAAGAAAGCATACTTACCTGGCGTAGAGGTAAACCGTGATCATGAAGGCGGTTCCTCCGGAGCGAGACTTGATCATTGCACATCCGATTGGGTTGACCTCTGCGATTATTCCTAATGTGAATAACTCGTTCGTGTAATTTTTGGTAGCCGGGAATGGCGTACGCGCCGTCCCGACATTTTTAAATATATACATAACTATAGATATAAAAGAATAGTAAGTAAGTCATCGCTCCATTGATCAAATTGTCATGGAATTGGTAAATATTTCTTTTAACGAAAATGAAAATACGAAATATAAAAATGAAAGTAATTCGATATCGCTTCCAAGGAGACTTTCAGAAGAATTTGAGAACAATTTGTATTCCTTCGAAGTTATGAACACTATCTACAGGCAAACATCGAACAAATACCAACCTGAAGTATGTTTTGGGTATAATAAAATGAAAATCTGTAAATCAGATTTGAAATTTCAAAATCCATAATGTTGAACGAAGGTGGGATAAAAGACAAAGACAACATTACATAAGTTCAGTTCGTGGTTAAAAGATCCTGAAAGAATCGGCATACAAAATAAGTTCTAAGGACTTTTAAAAAAATAAGTCTAACACACTTTAGATCATCGATCGCTTTGACTATGTTAGCATGAATAAGCTTTTCAACAAGCTGGTTAATATAATTTTGAAATGGAAAATACTAAAAGTTAAGATATTGTATTCCAGCCGCTGGTCTCTGAAGTTATCTAAAGTTCCAACGAACCCAATTTTGAAATTTCATATTACTTTTCATAAAATAGCTTTAATTTCGTTAAACGTTTGCATTATTTTAAATATTTTATATACAGCTATTATGAAAGGACCCTCTGTATGAACATACACACATCAGTACATGCCTTATTGGGTCAATAATACTTTTTTGCCCTCGCTGCTAAAGGTTAAGGAAAATGTATCAGTTGGATATAATAAAGGCTTTATACAATTGTGTAAGTGTACGACTACATACCTACATTTGTTTCTGGGGTTGTGAGAACCCGTCAACAACAACTACAATGATTGTAAATATTATAAACGTCAACCGCAATGACACAGTGAACTTCAAATATTGGTTTTCTTATGATGCTAGTAAAAGGGAAGCAAAAGAAGGAAAAAATTAAATTGACTGTTACACATACATACATATGTATGTATATGCACGCACAAATACATATGCATGTATGTACATGTATTGTATAAACCTACATTTAATAATAACAACAAGTGTTCGAGTGGATATCCTGCTGTCGGAAACCCAATAAAATATCCTGGCAAAACAAACATTATAAGCAGAATACAGAATACAGAATACAGAAAAGAAATCGACTTTAGCTCATTTCGCGCAAATATTGCCAAACTTACTGACATATCAACGTACATCCTCGTGCATACTCAAAGTGAAATCATACAGACATGTCTACTTATAAGTAGTACATGCTGTGCCGTAAAGTGTGTATACTCGTATGTGTGTATGCAATACAGCCTTTCAAAATAATTACGAACTCACCAAAGGGATAGAGGTTGGAGTGTGGTAAGAACAAAAAAAAAACAATCAAATGAAATCAAATAAAATAAATGCACTCTGGTGGCAAAATGTGGAAACACACGCCCAAACATTAGTGCAAAAAATTATATTCTACATATATATATATATAGTTACGAGTATAAATATGTATATATGCATATGCATTCTGCAATTCTCCTGACAATTGCGAAAGCGTTCGCGTAAATCCCAACCGCGCCAACAAAAAAAAAAAAAACAAAAAGCGGAAAGCGTATTCTCATCCGTACCAACAACAAATAAGAAATCAAATAAAGATTTTCACTGACAACGCGCCGATTGATATAGAGAAATATTATTAGAAAGGGAGAACAAAAATATGCACAGCCTTAGCGCCGCAAAGCTAAAATTTGTGTTCATACTCGTAGATACATGCATATGTATGTAGGTCTAAAAGTCCCAAGAGCAGCACTGGAAAGTAAT